AGCACCCGCGGAATGGGGGTGAACGGCTCTGGTAACTATCGCGGGTATCTCCGAAAGCTCGAAAGGGAAAATAAGAGTGGGGAAACTCCAGGCGTTCTCTCTGCCCCCTTCGGTGTAACCCGGAGCTAGGGCTGCTCTTTTGGCTACTGCTGCCTAGCAAGGATAGGAGGAAAAACAAGTAATGTTTACCTTCTTGAACGTACTGCAGTTTTAATGGTGTTGTGCTTCCCATATGCGCGGTCCTTCTGAAGATCTATTTTCTCTGAAGGCGACAACTTGTTAGCCATCTCTAAAATGCCTGACTACTGGGAAAAACGGGCAGCAGCTTAGCTATTGGGTAAACGTGGGCTCTGGACTTTAAGTTTTTACCCAGTGGATTAACAGCTTCTTACACAAATCTTTCTGTTGTCCAACTAAAAGTATTAAGTCTGTGTATTAAAGGGAAACATACTGTTAACTTATATAGAAGGATAAGGCTAAACAACAAATAGCTGTCACAGACGTAAGTAATGGCATTCTTGGGTATTTACTGTCACTGTATGTTTGACTCTTAGCCGCGAAAATGCAGCAGCATAAGGGCCAGAACAACTTCTCCAGGGCTACCCAAATCAGATCCTGTCGGGCCAGGACTGAGGCTATCCTTCAGATATGGAAAACCAGGAAGTCTTTCAAGATTGCTAGGCAGACAGATTAGTCTGGCCTCAGGAAGGGGCATTTAGAAAGGTGTAGTGATTTTTATTTTTTTTATCAATTACGGTAAACTATCTCATAGTTCCCTTAATACATCTTGTTCTGTGTGCATAAATCATTATTAAATAAGCATTTCTGCCTAGTATTTCTAAAGCCTGATATATTTTCTTAAAACGTGACTGCTTATCTAGATTTTACCCCTCTCTTAAAAAAGGTAGGAAGGGTAAAAACCCCAACAGTCTTTAAAAGCACGTTTGTTAGGAGAACTCTAACCAGCTGCAGTGAAGTGGTGGTTCTCCCTGCCCTGCCCAAGGGCTATTTTGAGGGAACATGGTGATGACTTATTGGTATGAGCAGAGGTACTTCAGCTAGAGTGTTTGTATCTGGTTTGAAGAGTGTTTCAAGTCACCTAGACCCATACAGCCAGCTGGAGATCTTAAAGCAGTTAAAATCCAAGCCCAGTAGTGTCTGGGGTGCTTCAATAATTTGTGCTTCTTCTGAAAAGTGCCAGTTGACTGGTGTCTGGTTTGTTCTGCACCAAGTCAGTTACTAGCACAGACGTCCAGCTTCTTTCTTCCAGAAGGCATACTGCAACTGTTGAGACAGACAGAGCAGAAATACATTTAGGTGCAAGTAACATGCTTGTAGTATCTTCATGTGTGCAAATGGGTACAAATACATACCTTTAGTACATACCTTCTCATGTTCAAATTGAAAACACCCTTTTATATGGTTCATAGATTAGCACTCAGCTAGAGCTTAATAAAAGTGGATGTTGCTGCACTGCAAACAAGCAGTGATGCTCCTGTTACTGGCTGGCTAGCAGCGTGTTTGTCTTGCAGATGTCAAAGAACTTCACAAACTTTCCGTATTTATAGAAAGTCTTGTATTATCCCCACCCTGCAGCTAGAGACAGAGGGCAAATGGGGTAAGTAACTTACCCAATTAATGACTTCTGTTTTGTTCACTCAGTACGTGACTTTAGCCTGGTGTAACTTGATGGCTAGCAGGCCCTAAACTAGCCATAGCCATCCATAGAGCATTGTATGTAATTAGCCTTAGCCTGTTGCTGGCATAGTAGTGTGATTTTGTCTGATGTAGAGAGAATTCAGGTCTTCAGAAATGCACGTGTGCTGGTTTTACTATTGTGTAATGAAAAGTTATAAAAGATTAACTTAAGAAAACTAAGCTTCATCTGTGTCCCCTCTTTCTCCAAACTGTACTGAATGTATACGTCGCCTTTTGTTCCAGGTGCAGAGCATGGAGAATGATGAACTTCCGCCAGAGGATGGGCTGGATTGGTGTGGGGTTGTACTTGTTAGCAAGTGCTGCAGCTTTTTATTATGTCTTTGAAATCAATGAGACCTACAACAAACTAGCACTGGAGCACATTCAGCAACATCCCAAGGAACCACAGGAAGGAACCACATGGACGCACTCCTTAAAAGTACGACTGCTATCCTTGCCTTTCTGGCTGTGGACTATAATATTTTTAATACCATATTTACAGATGTTCTTGTTCCTCTATTCCTGTACAAGAGCTGACCCCAAAACTGTTGGGTATTGCATCATTCCTATCTGCTTGGCTGTTATTTGCAATCGTCATCAAACGTTTGTGAAGGCCTCTAATCAGATCAGTAGATTGCAACTGATTGACACTTAGCTCAATTTCTAGTTTCCGTAGCTGTTTTGAAGCAATTGCATATGCCTGATCTAATCACAAGACTGAAGTTCTGAGTGAAGGCTGGAAAGAACCTTTTCTTTCATACTGTTAAGCAATGAAGAGAGTGACTGTTTTCTATTAAAAAAAAAGTAACTACAAAGGTTTTTAAATATGGGTCTGTCAGAATGGCCAGAGTGGGAGAGCCCTGTGTGACACTTGATGGAAGTATTCCTCATTTTGCCTTAATGATGCAAAATTGCAACACTCCATCTGAAACGTCCTGTGGGGAAATAAGTTTCTGGTCCATGACTTTACTCCGCTGTGCAAAAAAGTGATTTCCTATGTTTTCCCTTGGAGTAAAATCAATGAAAAGATACTTCTTTTGTGGTAAATGTAACAGGAAGAAAAATCAGAACATTGATTATAAAAGCTGCACTTAACACAATTCTTTGCTTTTTCTTTTTTTTTTAATAATTAACATCTACATCAGTGCTGGTTTTTAATGATATTTTTTTAAAACAAGTTTAGATATAAATACAGGAAGCAAAGAATAAAGTTTGTGCGAACATTTAAAGGGAAAAAGGTACCTTTTTTTTTTTCTGTGGTAGTATACTTTTTTCAGTGACTACAACAGTACCGTGTTGTAGTAGGTAGGCAGTGAGGAGTGGCATAGGCCTGGAACTTGGTGCTTTAAACTTTTCCCACGACATCAAAAGCAGTTTACACTTGCATTGGCCTATAGTCCGCACAAAACTTCATTTGTGTTTCCTTCTATCTATAATCTCCTTTGATAAAATTGCAAGTGATTGGAGTTTACTACCATTCTAATTTCACTCCAGATATGATGCAAAACCATGTTCTGGGAGCACCGATGTATTAGGAAAAACTTTGAGTTTGGGAAAGTTAACTGGTATTAGGTTGGGGGGATGCTGCAAACAGGTTGTAAGACAGATAATGGTGTTTCTTCCAGAAATTTGAAGAAAATACCTTCTTATTCTTGCAATGAATGCAAATTTCTTGAGGCATACTGAAATTCCACTGAGATTTCTCTCCATAGTTTCAACCTCTATTTTTCAGTGCTATTTTGGCATAGCGTTTCATTCTAACTACTACTGGACTGTGTATTTTGAGTAATATCGAATCTGCTCTTTCTTCTTTTTTGTTTCTTCTTAGAATAACTAAATTTTTGAGCCAGCCGTGATGGAAGTAACCTTCCGAATGTGAAAACAGTGCAAAATACGCTCTTCAAAAATAGTAGGCCCAAAACAGTTATGGACTGAACTCCTCTGTTATAATTTCATTTGTATGTGGTTGTTAGTACCTAATCATCACAAATGCTAATCCATTTCTGACTACTTCAAGGGAATCCTGGAGAATATTGGCTTTGGAAAGAGAACGCTATTTTCAGTGTTGCTATGTTTTAGCACGGCAGTTACAACACCTTAAACTTTCTGTTTGCATTTGGAGATAATTTTGAGACGCTGGTTTCAAATGTCAGCATCGGTGCTAGGACCTGAAAACAATGTAGCCTTTACAAGAAGGTTTTAAGTTCTAAGTGCAATATGAAAAGGAGGAAGCTGCCATCTTAATATGCTGGAGTAAGAATAAATTATAAACTCTGACGTGTAGTATCTTTGGGAGTCAGAGCTTTTAAGTTGTGTTGTTTCCTAACTTTAAAAATCACCATCCTATTTATCTATAAAATAAAAACTTTTCAATGTTTATAAACAGAAGTCTGTTAATGCAGGTACATATCAATGGCTTTTTTTTTTTTTTCCATATGTTTGTTGCTAGATGGCAGTGCTGGCAGTCAGCTGCTGCAGCTTACTATCCTCTCCTTCCCTCAGTGTGTATGTTTGGTTGATCTTTTTTGTTGTCCTTTTATGCTCTGTGCCCTAATTACTTGCCTGTAGCTTGAAGTTTTCGGGCTGGCTGGATAGAACTGAATCCCTTTGTCATTTCTCTAGCTTTGTGTTAACAGGGAGATACCACTGGCTGGACTACGTTTTTAACTTGATGCTGTAGTTTTTAAACTGAGTGGTTATGTTGTGTCTAGATGGACTTATTTAAAGGAGAACAACATAAGAGGAAGCATCAAAAATAGAAGATGATAGGGAGAACTGCCTAAGTTTCTGTTGTGCTGGCATGTGGCCTTTAGCAAATTCATCAACATGCCTGATGCGATGAGCCAAGCTGTCTGGATGCCGAGCACGTGCTGGGCACAGCGGTGACTTACTCAACAGAGGTTTGTGTTTGTAGACTTTTCCATCAGAAGCCTGGTTTTAGATTAAAGCTGTCGACAATAATGAGCTTTACGACTAACTACAGAAAGACACACAATCTAATTCAAGCAAATACTATGTAAGGATTTGAGCTTGAGGTGGAAAGCAGCAATGCAGAGAATTAGTATAAACTATTAATATAGTGTATAGGAATGCTAGACAATAGGAGTAGAAGAGGAAAGCTAGCTCCACTGGTGCTTCCAGCATTTTTGGCACTAGCAGAACATCAACAGGTGAATCCTTACCCACATAGTAAGTGAAGGAAAGACTATAAAAAATTAATGATTAAATTGGTTTTTTTACTGTAGTCTTCCAAAAGGAGGAGTGAAATAACTTTAAGCTTGATTATCCTGAAGATTTGCAGATAGTGTCAAGGCTAATTAGTTCTCAGTCATAGAAGATAACTGCCTGTAACACAAATTGACACGATCTACCAGCTTTTGGGATAATCAAGCTCAAAGAATTTTTACAACCTCTTTAAAGACTACAATGCTTCTCAATTAGTTCTTGATTGTAAATGACAGATAATAGTGCAAATCTGTTTCTACAGCAATGGCATTAATAAAAGATGCGAGACTAGCTTATACTAGAACGTGCTCATACAAATCTATTTAGTGCTTTTCACTGAGTGGGCAGAAAAGATGAATTGCTACAACTTCTACTTAGGGGTGGGAAAGCTATTTTTACTCATACTCTTTTAACTTAAAAGGAATTAGCTCAGACCTGATCTTGATGAGCTTCCTAAAGCAGAAGCTGTAATAATAGAAGCAGTAATTAAGTCCTCAGAAGATTGCTAACCTCTACCAATCTTAGCAATCATCCAGACCTTTAATTTTCTGCCAAGAAATTGAGTAGCTGTAACACAAGGTTGATTAATATTAATCTCTGTGCCACCTACCCTGGATTTCCTTTTATTGTGTTTTGTGTCACAAGATAAAGCTTTGTCAGACTGCTTGAGCAATGCTCTGGGGCAGTCTGAGTGTTAGTTTCGGTAGCTGCTCAGCCTTCACCTGACAGTCCCTTTCG